CATATTCGTGTTTGTTTCTGGCACTCTGCCTTTGTAGTCCAACTAACTCCTGTCTACACAGATCCTTGACGTTCTCAGCATCTGCGATTGTAGTCATGACCTCGGTTACGGCTCGATCTCTTTCTGCCGATATAGCCTGGATCTCTTCCGTGCCGATGTTCACAACTTGACTAACCATCTCTGCGCTGTTGCGATCAGCGTACTCCCCTAACTGGGTGAGACGATCCCGCATTGCCACACGATCAGTGTCCATCTGGTATTGCAGGTCGTGTGCTGCTGAGAGTAAACAGTCTCTGGATTCTGTAAGTTGGGTGATTCTTCGTTGATTTCCATATCCTTCGACATAACATTCTTCGAGGTGTGCCATCACTACTTCGTGGACTTCGGTCTCGTGTTGTATAATCTGGTTCTGTCTCTGCTCACATTCGACCATCCATGCGTTTTGGTGGTTCAACATATGCACTTCGGCAAGTAGTTGCGCACACTTCGCATTCAGGTCTCCATCGGCCCGTGCTAGTTGTAGGTTGTCAGTGTTTGCCCTTGCCCGATCTCCAGCTTCGCTGTCCGACGGCACTGGTACAGCTGACCCATCCTGCAATGCTAACGTCCTCACCGCTCCGGTGTCAGTCCTCCTCCTCGTCTCCCTAGGGCTACGGCCTGATCTCGGTGTTCCCCACGGTGGTGTCGAGTGCGCTGACGGGGAACGACTTCGTGCTCTACCTGTCGCAACTTCTCTCACCACTGTCAGAGTCTCCGCTTCGATCGTACCTGGACTAGAGTTGTGGGATGCACTCATCCGATCTGCGGCCGCAGCAGCTGCTCCGAAAGATGCAGTGCTGGCGTCGGATTGGTCCATCTTCTGTGACTGAGGGTAACTGATCTATCCGATGCGTGTGCGTTTAGATGGTGTTGTGTAAGGCCGCAGCTCGTACCCAGCTCAAAGGAGTCTGGATACGGCTGATAACCTGCGAACGGATGGAAAGGTGTGCCCTGGCCCCGTTCTAGCTCTTAGGTTAACATGAAGCTCGCGCGCTAAAGCTCCTTTTTACCTGGTTGGGCACTTGAGCCAAAAGTATATGGCATGTACCTGTATAGCGACTATACTGGGACCCCATCCCTATTGACACATTACATTCCTACCTGGGCCTATCTTTGGAGAAGCCTAGGGAACGGCGGTCCGTGTCTATCCTAAGGGATTCAACCACATCCTCTTCAAGCTGATTGAAGGACGGCCTGAGGAACCAGCGGCAATGCTTTCACGATGATGCCGTTCTGACTCATTGCTGTAAATGGCTTAGGCTTCTTCAAGGCTCTCTGGCTGCTGGTTGTCCACAGAAAGAAGGATTGTGCCCCAAAAAAGGTTGCCAAAGCAGGAGTATCACCAAATATGTTCTTGCCTGCTAGACTCATCCGAGCACCATGATCATGGCGCCAGCATTTGCTTTGCCGCTGCACCTACCATTTCGCGATCCTCTGTCTCTGGCAGTTCTTGTTGAAAACTGGAGCCACACAGCTACAAAGACCACAGCGTGTCAGCCATCATGGCACAAGAACAAGAACACCAGACAGGATAAAGGATGATCAAGGATTGGGAGGGTTCTTGTTCAAAGCATTCTTGCTACAAGCAAGGGATACTGTATGTGCAAGATCCAAAGCTAAGCAGTGGCTGCTTGCCCGAAGACTTCCGACACAGAGTCGAGGATGACGCAAGACAGCTAGCTAGCTCACAATGTGATGGTACACAGAAAGCTTTCCACTGGTAGTTGAAGCTAGATAAATTTAACCTCTCCATGTGGACACATATGTGTGTTTTCTTCCTTTGCCACATACTGTGAAAAGGACCTTCTTGATCCAAATCAGGCACATTTGATCAAATGTGTATATATATATATACATAACCATTGTGATCAGCCCTCCGTCAAGCTTGTCATGAGGGTGAGGATCAACATTTAATTGCACAGAAAGGAATTCAGAACGGGCTGAGCATCCAAGCAATTCCGAAAATATATCAGATTAGACTCCAGGAGATTCTTTTCGGAAATGCCAAGCTGTCTCCCTGCTACATTTCAAACCATCGTCCCATCGAAGAAGGTTCCGCCCTTGGGAACTCCAAGGCCAAGGTAAACCTGCCACGTTCACGTTCAACGGATGGACCCGATTCCCGTCAAGTCCCTTGGATCGGCAAAGTGACCGGCCTATCCGGGCTTTTTCAAACGCCCAAATCACCTTTGTATCTAGTAGCTTCTTGCTACCAGTAATAGCGATGGTCTCCAACCTAGTATAGCTTCTTGCTACTACTAGTTAGTGATGGCCTCCAACCTAATAGCCAGGGCCTCCAACCTAGTATAGCTTCTTGCGACTAGTAGTAAGGGCCTCC